GATCATCAACCTGGAAGCATAGCTAGGTGTACCCACAGGCCCTGCCCATCCAAATCATTTTTCTTGGTGCAGGGGAGGGGGGTGGGTATTCCGGGTATTACCCAGTGGTGCTCAGGGCTAGTACTGGTACAGTGCTGGGGGGAGGGGGGGTCACTCCTGGTAATACTCAGGATATCAAATCTAAGCCTCCTGAATGTACAGGAAGCTCTCCAGCCTACTGAGCTAATCTTTCCAGTCTTACAAGTCTTAAGACTAACTCAATAAGTCATAACTAAATGCCTATCAAGAGCAAAGCATCTTAGATCATGGGGGCTGTTCTAGAAGAAATAGACACAAATCACTTTCATTTTATAAATGGGGTTTACAGCCCGTAATTCACATTTAATGCTAAAGCAATTTGTTTAGAGAAGGGATTGTTTTCAAGTTAAAACAATCATCTCAAAGTGATCAATTAAGTGACATTTATCACATTCACAGTGATGGGAAACCACCACTTTCATCTTGTTTCAAGATACTTTCTTTGCTCCAAAATAAAACCCCGTATCCATTAAGCAGTTTCTTCTTAAAATAAAGGTTAATGTTAAGATACTGTTTTTAGATCAAGATTTTTCACATCAAACTCCATCATTTAGGATAACATATCCTTTTTAAGAATTTTTCAAAATAAACATCTGTGAATTCAAAGAAAACCAAGATCTCTCCTACACAGTAAGTTTTCAAGAGTTGGCAAATGTTAGCTTGTGGTTTCCCCTTAGTTCATTCATTCAGCATTTTTCAAGAGATGACACAGCAGTAGAACACCTGCACTGGGTTCAAGCCCCAGCTCCCCATATGGTCCCCGGAGGCCACCAGGAGTTATCCCTGAGTGCAGAGTCAGAGCAAGCACTGAGCACTGCCAGGTGTTACCCCAAAACAAACCAAAAAACTGAAAGAGATGACTCTGTACTCAAGAGTGTGAGAGATCATGTGGATGTGTTCAGGACTGTCACAAGGACACAAGACACTAGGGAAAGTGGAGGGACTAGGGAAGCGAACACAAGCAGACAATATACTATTGGTCCCTAATAGACCATCCTGAGCAATATACTAAATCACTATTACTCCAAAAGGATTTTTTAAAGTGTCATTATCACTGCTTATTCGATACTCATTTTCATTTCTTATTCTTTGAACACTAATTTGGAAAGGATTTTTTAAAGTGTTATTATCACTGCTTATTCAATACTCATTTGCATGTCTTATTCTTTGAACACTAATTTGAAAATTCTTTCCAAATATAGATAAAATGAAAAAAGACTTGTATTACTCACAATAAAGCATGACCTAAATTTTCTATCATCATTTAAGAAACTGCAATGAGAAACTGGAGCTGCACTTAGACTGTGTGACTGAAAACTGTATTTTTTATATATATATATTTTATATATTTGCTTTTTGGGTCACACCCGGCAATGCACAGGTGCTACTCCTGGCTCTGCACTCAGGAATTACTTCTGGCTGTGCTCAGGGGACCATATAGAATGCTGAGAATCAAACCCGGGTCGGCCGTGTGCAAGGCAAAACGCCCTACCTCCGTGCTATAGCTCCATCCCCTGCACTTTACAATTTTACTTAGATAATGCTACAAAGCTGTAAGCCTTTGCTGCGTTTCCTTGCAAAAGTACTTCCAGGAAAAAAAAAAACAGGAAATGACAATAGATCGTATTACTTAGAAACAAAGACAAAAGTATTACAAACTTTTAGTATCTCCAAACTTTAATGTGAAATACTGCCATTTTCTTTTCCTTGACAGCAAAATGATATTAAAAAAGAAAGAAAACAAAGGAATCCTGTATTTAAATAAGTGTGCATACTTTTCTTTCTTTTTTTTTTAAATGTGGTTGAGACCAGAACAATAGTACAGTGCATAGGGCACTTGCCTTGTATGCAGTCAACCCAAGCTCAATCCCCGGCACCTACCAGGACAAGCCCTGAACCCAGAGCCAGGAATAAGCCCTGAGCACCCCTAGGTGTGACCCCAAAACAAACCAAAAACAGCCGAAAAGATATATACTAGATTTTCTTCAAAAGACAGTAGATGGGGAATAAGACAATGTTTGAAATGATGGAACAAGACTGAGCAAGAGATAACTAGTGAAATTGAGAAACAAGCGTAAGTGAATCCCAGGTCAATATAAAACATAATTCATTATGCTATATTCTTATGCTGGAGCAATAGCACAGCAGGTAGGGCGTTTGCCTTGCACGCAGCCAACATGGCCAACCCGAGTTCGATTCCTTCGCCTCTCTCGGAGAGCCCGGCAAGCTACCGAGAGTTATCTCGCCCACACGGCAGAGGCTGGCAAACTCCCCGTGACGTATTCGATATGCCAAACACAGTAACAAGTCTCACGATGGAGACGTTACTGGGCCCGCTCGAGCAAATCGATGAACAACGGGAGGACAGTGACAGTGACTTATGTATGTCTGAAAATTCTAATGAAAATCTTCAAAACAAATACACAATAAACATTTCAATAATAAAAAATATTTCCAACTCATCAAGTATGTTTCTTTTTTGGTATTTTTGTTTTGGTAGTGCTCAGGGTTTACTCCTGGCAGGCTTGAGGGATAGTAAGTGATGCCCCGAACAGAACTTTGGTTGGTTATATGCACTGCAAGTACCTTACCTGCTGTACAATGGTTCTGGGCACCTTATCAAGTACTTTTAAATAAAGTCATGTCACACACTAATCTTTTAAACCCTTTTAAGAATGAGGCTGTCAATTTCACCAGGGCACCCCAGATGGAGCAGGTGCAGTCTCCCCACCTACTCCAGATTAAATCCCGGGGAACAAGAGTTTTCACAAGCAAGGCCCAGGAATGGGGTTCCAGTCTAAATCTCCATGCCGCATGGCAGCAGAGGTGCCAGGCTGTTCCTCACTGGCTCCCCAACCACTTGATGGCCTGGATGTCACCCCCAGAATGTGCCTCTGGGTGCCATCTTAGCACATCAACAGCCCTGGTCCAGAGACACCCAACTGAATCCCAAAATGGATTGGTGCCCTACAGAAATGTCTCTGGAACACAACCATTTACAATCTAGAATTCTGGAAGCGCATGGCTGCGGCACCCAAGATATTCAGCAATGGACAATAAACTAGCATCTGCCCGTGGCAGGCAGGCTTGAATGTCGGTAGGAAAATTCGAGCAAAACATAATGTCCAAAAGTAGAGAGAGAGTATTGGGAAAATTGCCTGCCATGGAGGCAGGGTGAGGACTGGGATGGGGGGATATTCTGGAGATATGATGGTGGAAAATGTGCACTGGTGGAGAGATGGGTGTTCAATAATTGTACGGCTGAATCTTGAGCATGAAAGCTCTGTAGCTTTGTAACTCTATCTCATGGTGATCCAATTAAAAAAAAAAAAGTAGTGTGGAGTTTATGCCCAATTCAAACAGCTTAGTCAATGGCCAAATAAATAGCAGTACTCTACATTTAAAAAAAAAGAGAGAGAGACTGTGAGAATGGAGTGATAATACAGTTGGGTACGGCACTTACCTCGCACATGTCCAACCAGTTTTGATTCCCAACACCCTAGGTGGTTCCCCAACCCCCATCAGGAGTGATCCCTGAGTGCAGGGCCAGGAGTAAGCCCTGAACATGGCTAGGTATGGCACCCCCACCCCCACCACACACACACACACACACACACACACACACACACACACACAAGGAATGAGGCCACAAAAACTTACCAATTCATAAAACTATTACAACTTACCATGTCCAGGTGCCTGATTTCTTGAAATGCAGTTAATAAACTGCTTAGACACTGAAGTCTACTTCAATATGAACTGAATTTGAAAAATGAAAGACTCCTATGAGTTGCTGAAGTACAGCATAAAGATGTTCTTGGGGCAAAGCAAAGGCAAAAGAAACTCCTCAGGGTTTCAGAATGGACCCCAAGATCTAACAGCTCACTGGTGCCCAGCAAGAGAGAGTGACTACTCTGTATTCTCAGTCACTGTATTAGGCCACTCATTAGAAAAAAGACCTAATTCCACACCAGAAGTAGGAAATTGGGTTAGGATGAAACTTTTACTATAAAGTTGAGATCTACAAAATATTTCAAACAGATAAATTTGTTTAGAAATGTGCTGTTCACTGTCCAAAAAAACCCCAAGACAAATCCCAACAACAGAAGCGCATCACACCAATGTATACTGCTGGCTAAATTCCTATTACACTGGCCCCTGACTGAAGGAATGTTTTAAAATACAACTCAGTGACCCCTAAAAATTTACTCTCTTTAAGAAAACAGAAAGTGCCCCTCTACTGCACCGAAAGCTCCACCCACCAGGTCCCAGTGCCCCACAGCATTCACTTTAGAAAAGATTACCATTAAAATAAAAAAAGAAAAAAATCTTTTTCCAGAGCATCACATAGGAATTCAATTATCTAGTGCTATTCTGGAATGTGAACCTAATGGTTCACAATTCTCTATCTTATCTTGTCCTGCGAAACCATCAGCAGGGTGAAGCATTTTCCAACTCCAGAAGACAAGACAAATTTTTGCATAAAATGTTTGTTTTCGTGGAGTTCATGCACAATTCAATCAGCCTAATCAGTGGCTGAATAAATAGCAGTACTCCTACATTAAAAAAAAAAAAGTTTGTTTTCAAAAAAAAAATGCTACAGAGCAACCAGACACATAGGAGTTCTTACAGCGATAGCACAGCGGGTAGGGCGTTCGCCTTACACGCGGCCAACATGGCCAACCCGAGTTCGATTTCTCCGCCCCTCTCGGAGAGCCCGGCAAGCTACCGAGAGTATTCGATATGCCAGACACAGTAACAACAAAGTCTCCAATGGAGATGTTACTGGGCCCGCTCGAGCAAATCGACGATCAACAGGAAGGCCTTTACCTTACCTTACCTTACCTTACCTTACAGATATAATGCTAAGACACTGACTATAACCTTCTCTAAAATTAAAAGTTATAGAAAAGTGGACTTACGTAATTGCAACATTGCTCCCATCTATAACGATGTGTTTTAAATCTGTTCTCCCTGGTTCATTTTTTAATTCCAGCTTGTAAGGTACTTTCAGGGTATCTCGAAACCTTTGAACCCCTGTAACTGAGGAATCAATATGCTCAGAAGTTCCTGCCAACCTTGCATCAGAAACTGAAGATAACAGCTGGGGCAGTGGCATCGGTGGAGAAAGGGGTGGGCAGTTTGGCTTAGGCTGTGGAGAACTACAATGTCCCAAGCGATTTTCACAAGCAGACTTCATATTTGGAAGCAAAGGATCTCCTTGCTGCAAACCATTTTCAGGGAAAGCTGGAATTCTGGATTGGTGACTTGAGGCTCCTCTTGAAACAAAATTAACTTCTTTGGGACTTAAAGAGGCAACAGAAGGTGAAAGACCATCAGTTTCCAGGTCTACGTTACAAGTGTAGTTCTGATTTGAACTCCAGATTTCTTGCTTCTGTTCTATTGGCACTGTCCTAAAAGTATTGATTTTGCAATTTGAGGTACATGGTTTTGATTCTGCTTTGAATGGTAAATGAGAAAATCGTTCTACTATATTTTGCTGTGTGTGACACAGTGTTTTCTTTGGAGTAGAATCTGCTGTAAGCTCACTTATGCTGCTACAAACACTTTTGTTTTTGGTTTTATTAGTTTCAGTATATGTAGTACCTAGTGAAAATTCTGCGTCTTCTTGGAATCTTTTATTTTCTTTTTCAATTTCCTCTAAAAGCAGTAGTGGTTCCGTAGATGGTCCATAATCCCTAATTACTTTTTCAACAATTTCTTGGGAATAGCCCATGGTTTTAAAGAAGTTCACAAGGATGTTATATTCCATTTCCTCAGTAGTGTCTTTTACATCTGGACTTAAATTTTCAGGATCAGCAGAAGAATCAGATAGGTCAATCCCTGCATTTCCAGATGGTGACTTACCATCATGTAAAAGCTCCCCCTCTTGTATATTTTCTAATGAAAACTGCTTCTTGGTATGTCTTTCTTCAGAATCAGAAAATCTCCTTTTGTGACAAACTCTGTCTGTGGAAAGCGCCTCTTCATCTGGAGTTAAACCATTTACCGGAACAAAAAGTACATCTTGTGAACTGGAAAAAACTGTGTCCATTTGTTTTGTAAGCTCAGAAACAGGAGTTCCGGCTTTATTTCTTGCATCTTCCTGCAAAATTACCTCATCACTGGAAATATTCAGACCTGTGGCAGTGTTCTGTGTAGTCTCTCTTTGTACAGAATCTCTGATTTCAGTAACATTATCATCTCCTGTTTCAAATAGGTTCTCCTCACCTTGTGTGAGTGCCAAAAGTTCTTTTTTCAACAAAGTGGGTAAAATTAACAAGTCCATCGTGTAACAGTCTGCATGAGCTTCAACAAATTGTTTGAATTCCCTTTTTACCTCTGATTCTTTGTGACTGCTGGGTAAGTTCTCGTTATTCTCAAAGAGCTTTACAAACTGCTGAATGTGACTCCGAGCCATGACCACAGCTTCAGCACTTCCTCGGATGCCAAGAAGCCCAATGTCCAGAATGCAAAGATCAGCACAGGTGTCCTGAATCAAACTTTTCAGAAACAGGCTCTGGGCCCCAACAAAAATGCAATGCATGGCCTTGGGGTAACATTCCTTTTCTTCTAATTCAGGTTCACAGATTCCTTTAATATATTCCTATAAACAGAAGAAATTAGATTAATTTACAAAAACTCCTCACAGCATATATCATGTTACAAATATAAGTATATAAAATCAAAGGCATGCTAACAACTTTAGGAGAAAAAAAGTCACATATTAAAAGATTTTAAAATAGATATGTTACTTAATTTCTCCCTGTGTTATCTTCTGAAAGTTTCATATTTAAATCTGTAAATGGAACTGATTTTTGTGTTATGACTCTTAGACAGAAGATCACATTTTCTGAATTAAAGATGTCCAATTGTTCTGGAACCATTCTTCAAGAAACCACCTTTTCTCTGCGGCATTGTTTTTGCATCTTTTTTTTTTTTTTGCTTTTTGGTTCACACCCGGCAATGCACAGGGGTCACTCCTGGCTCTGTGATCAGGAATTACCCCTGGCGGTGCTCAGGGGACCATATGGGATGCTGGGAATTGAACCCGGGTTGGCCGCGTGCAAAGCAAATGCCCTACCTGCTGTGCTATCGCTCCAGCCCCTGTTTTTGCATCTTTGTCAAAAAACTTAATTTATAGAGGCTGGAGAGCTAGCTCAACAGGCTGAGTGCACACAATGTCTGGGTTCAATCCGCAACACATTGGTCCCTCAAACACTGAAGTAGTTCCAGAGCACTGCCCAATGTGGCCAAAATAAAACAAAATAATATATACACATACATAGGTATATATCTATCACATTCCATACTTCAAAAACATATATTGGGGATGGAGCTATTATTGATGGTGATCAGGGTTAACTTCTCCGTCTTTAATCAGGATCACTCCTAGCGGTGGTTGGGGTACTACTATATGTGGTGTGGGGATCAAACCAGGATAAGCTATGTGCAAGGCAAACACCCTACCTGTTGGGTATCTCTCCCACCCCATGGCACTCTATTGTATCTTCTGTCTAGGATATAGAAATACACACACACACACACACACACACACACACACACATATATATATATATATATAGGAACTGGAGAGGTAGTACAGCAGGTAAGGTGCTTGTCTTGTACGTAGATAACCCAGGTTCCATTGCAACAACCAATATGATCTCTAAAGTTCACCGGGGTGACTCCAGAGTATAGAGCTAAGAGTAAGCCCTGCACATAGCCAGCAATGGCCAAAAAAACAAACAAAATTATTAGATTGTTTTTCTCTTTTTGGCAACACTCCAGGGAGTCAGAGGTGACCCCCCCAGTACAGTGCTAAGGGGTTGCTCCTGACAGTGCTCAGGAGACGGTGCAGCTCTAGGGACCAAATCCCACATACAAAGCAGGCACTCCAGTCCTTTAAGCTATCGCCTTATCTTTTAAGAGGTCATAATTTTCCTGGTTCTTCACATACTAAGATAATGCAGTCATTCTATTTTTATTTATTTATTTATTTATTTATTCATTTGTTTATGTATGTTCAATCATAGCAGGTAGTCTATCCATTTTTTTGACAATACATTTATGAAGAACTGACTAGACAGAAGAACTTGAACTTGAACCTGTGTACTACTTGCTGAAGAAGTAACACTGGCTGTTTACATGTTTTACCCTGAATTACCTCTTGGGCATCTCTACCTTCTGATCCTTAACACATAACCATTTATTTTCTGCTTCCCTACAGACCTTTAGGGTCAGCATGTCCTTTTGAACTGGATGATTTTTTTAAAAATTTTTATTAGTGAAACACCATGAGGTACAGTTGTAGACTTACAAATTTTTGTGCTTGGGTTTCAGTTATACAATGATCGAGTACCCATCCCTCCCCCAGTGCCCATTCTCCACCACCACTAATCCCAGTATCCCTCCCAGCCCTCATCCCCCCCTGCCTCTGTGGACTCCCTTTTGTTCTCTCTCTCCTTTTGGGTCCTGTGGTAATTTGCAGTCATTTTAAATACAAGTCGCTGCGTTTTTTTTTTTTTTAAAAATCCCAAGGTGCATGTTGGTATTTTTGTGCTGGTAGGTAGGTGATCCAGCTAATTCCAGGCTTCAATCTCCAATCTCGCCTGAGTTTTGGTTCTTCTATCAGTTCAGATTTTTTCAAAACCCCGCAACGCTATTTATATTTGTCACCTGAGTGGTACCTAGTGACCACAGTGGGACCCAGATGATAGTTTTCTGTTTAGCTCTCAGGATTTTTTCCCCCTTTATGCTGATGAGTAAACAGATTAACTACAGCTTGGTGATGAATCATAAACTACTTTTTTGATGTCACTTTCCCTGCTCTTTCTAGTGCCTGCATTTCTCTCTCCACATCCTTCTTTTCAGTTCTCCAGTCATAAAGATAAGCTCTCCTTATCTCAATTTGCCTTGTACTTCTAAACTGACTTGCTGAGGACTCAGAGAGAACAACAAAGCAGACTGGCCTCATTCTCTTGGAATCATAATCCAACTAGAGAGAAAGACTTTCCTCCTCCATTTTCCAGGGGTGTGGAGGAAGGGGATAGCAGTGTCAAGCCCAGGTCTTAAGCAATGCAGGTATGTTCTTCATAGCTGAGCCACATGCTTCTCCCTATCCCATTTTTTGGCTTTTGGACCATATGCAGTGTTTGGGTGGTGCTATCAAACCTCGGGCGTCCATATACCAAGTATGCACTCCAGTTCTTTGAGCTATCTATCCCCTTAGTTCCCTTAGATTTTTTGACTTCTGCAAGCTCCTACCGTCACCATCACGGGATGTTTTTGGAATCTGAGGTACAATGGAATGAAGGAAAGACACAAAATGGAGTCTTGTTATTCTTTAGGTGCTCCTTTTTAATGCCCCTCTGTCAAAAGCAGAGGCGTCTCCTGTATTCCTTCTGTGCCCTGGAACCCATTCTTATTAGTAGGCTGTTACTGTCCTCCCATCGTTCATGGATTTTCTCAAGCGGGCCCAGTAACATCTCCATTGTGAGACTTTGTTGTTACTGTGTTTGGCATATGGAATACATCACGGGGAGTTTGCCAGGCTTTGCCATGTGGGCGAGATACTCTCGGTAGCTTGCCGGGCTCTCTGAGAGAGGCGGAGGAATTGAAATCGGGTTGGCCATGTTGGCTGCGTGCAAGGCAAACGCCCTACCCGTTGTGCTATCGCTCCAGCCCATTAGTAAGCTAAAGGTTAGAAATAACATAGGGAAAAAAAGGTACATTCACAACTGCTTAGGATGGGCACTTTGAATTCTGATCTTTCCCAAACTGCCTGTCGCTATTTGTTAGTGTTTCAGAGTCCTCTAAGAGCTGCTTAAGTACATTCTGTCAAGATTTTAGAGCTATATCAGTCCAGGGTGAAGTATACTGGCTTTCTTCTCAGAAAACAGAATGTCTGGTGCTGTCTTCTAGTATTTTTTAAAGAGATAAGTCCTGTTTAAATATACGGTTGAATTCACACAAGTCAACTACTGTTGACACCACTATGCAGCCATCTATAAGGAAAAGTCAATCTGGATCCCAGTTTACTCTGGACTGCTAGCAGCAATTAGGTAACCTGGAATGAAGAGGTTTCTTCTCCAAGTAAAGGAGCTTCAAAACAATGAAGTTCATTTTCTAACTGATGAAAGGTAAAGTCTATCTATGAACAGTCCCCTCCCACACCAAAGGTTTCAATGGTCTACTTATGTTTGGTTATGAAACTTAAGAAAATGCACAAATCAAAATACGCCTCACATATTCAAGTAAAAACAAAACAAAACAAAACACAAAATACAAGAAAACAATCTATGTATAGCAAGGTAGAAAATCACTATCACTGTCCTCCCGTTGTTCATCGATTTGCTCGAGCAGGCCCAGTAACGTCTCCATCATGAGACTTTTGTTGTTACTGTGTTTGGCATATCAAATACATCACGGGGAGCTTGCCAGGCTCTGCCGTGAGGGCGAGATACTCTCGGGAGCTTGCCGGGCTCTCTGAGAGGGGCGGAGGAATCAAACTCCGGTCTGCCATGTTGGCTGCATGCAAGGCAAACGCCCTACCGCTGTGCTATCGCTCCAGCCCTTGAGGAAAGCCAATAAAATAAAATTTTCCCAAGATATAAGGAAAATGAACTCCTAAAACTGTTATCAAGAGGCTAAAAATCAGAGTAAAAAAAACTTCCAGATTAAGAATATAAGTAAACGGATGTGGCAGGTGAGAGTACAATGAGTAGGTAAACTTAAACAATGGCCAAAACAAGAGTCACGGAAGAACTGTGTGACAAAGTGAGGCAAATTTTCAATGCAAATTTCTACAAGCAAATAGGGCCAGCATGATAGTACAGCAGGTAGGGTGTTTGCTTTGCATGCAGTTGACGAAGGTTCAATCCCCGGCATCCCATATGGTTCCTGGAGCACGGCCAGGAGTAATTCTTGAGTGCAGAGCCAGGAGTAAGCCCTGCACATATACCATCAGGTGTGGCCTCAAAAATAAAAAACAAAGGCCCTACAAACATGAAGAAATGAGGAAAATAAAGAGAAAAGAGATTTTAAATCCTAGGTCCTCTATCTAGGATACCCTAAATCCAAGTAACTAGGATGCCTCAAAAGAAAGAATGGCAGGGCTGGAGGTAAGGCACTTGCCTTGCACATGGCAAACCGGATTTCAATCTCTGGCATCCCATAAGGTCCCCTGAGTCACCAAGAGTAATTTCTGAGTGCAAAGCCAGAATTAAATCTCTCAGCATTTCCAGGTCTGGCCAAAAAGCAAGCAAACAAAAAAAGACAGAGTGGCAACTGAAAATAGCACAAATATTTGTGTATTCCTTATAACAAATTTCTTCTTGGGGCAGGATGGGGGTGGGGGCTTTTAAGTAGCATTTAGAGTCCATGGGTCATTCCTGATTGAGTCACAGCTGATCAGGCTGGATAATTCCGTGCTTGGGCCTACTAGTTCTAGGAACCACCTTAGACACAGTCAGTGGCCACTCTGGACCATACAGTGTCAGAGACTGAAATTGCATCCTTAAATATGCAAGGTATTCTTTCTTTCTTCTCTTTTTTTCTTTCCTTTTTGGGCCACACCCAGTGGTGCTCAGGGGTTATTCCTGGCTC